GAATCCGACTTTTTAAACAGAACAGCATAGTAGTTCAGATCGTATTAACCCGGTCAAAGTAGCTCAAAAAATAGTGGTAAGCTTACAATAAATCGCATAAAGCTGAACATTGGTACGATTGTTGGAAACACCATTACAAAAGAAATGTGAAAAGTCTCCACCGATCCCACATCTGCAAAAAAATGTATGCAAGGTCAAATTTCGAAAATATGGGTTTTTTGGATTTTTCAGCCAAACGGTAAGTCTTATCATAAAAATAGGCCTGACAAAAATTGTAGACCATGCGAATATCTATAAAAATTGTTCCTATACTTTTTTCCTATTTCAATTCCATTTCCTAAAGCTGGCTCCATATAGCGTGATCACTTGCCAATTATTTGACATGTTTAAAAAAATACATCGTATAGTGTGGACAAATGAATGGTCGAAAGTATGAACGTGTGTAGAGTATGCATATTTGCCAAATGTAAACAAATGCTATGTGTTTTTTCACATGATAAATATTCGCCAAAGTTATTCAAACGGCACACCATTTGGACTGTTCAACAAGTGAATGTTATTCTGTATGTAATAGTTTGCTCAGGAGACGGACATGTATACAATTGACGAGTATATATATAATCTAGCTCTGTGGACCTAGTAGGTCCATGGCTTGGTTGACTATCTTTCTCCACTTGTTTTTATCCTTTGCCTTTTCTTTCCAGCTGACAATTCGCAGTTGTTGTAAGTCCCTCTCCACCTCAGTTTTCCATCTTGTTTTCGGTCTTCCTCTCCTCTTCTTACCGCCAATTGTTCGTTCCATTACCATTTTTGGTATCCTTGTCCCTGGCATTCTTTCAGTATATCCCATCCATCTTAATCTTTGTGAGTATACCATTGAGTTTAAAATATTTGATACAACACATCTTGATACAACTTTTCGCTCTAGATTTAAGTAATATGCAAATCTTTGACACATTTATGCCTGACGAATGTTTGGCGAGTGATCTTAATATCTGGAGGCGGCTTAATAATAAAACATATTAAAATTCTTCCAATAACAATCCATAACTGATTTGGCACGAAGTTACAGAAACATTTTCTTCAGTAGAATATTAAATATTTCACTTTATGTAATGTATAAAGTTGGACAGACATTTTCGTCCAACTTAGTCCCTACGTTCTACTTGGTCTCGTTTTAGGAATCCAATAAATTTCGTTTAGTAAAAGAAGGGTAGTAGCTTTTTTGCCCAGTAAATTCAATAACATGCTAGTTTATCGACAAAAAATACTCCTCCCTATACTGTTTATTAATTCAGAAGTTCATGTTACGGACTTGTTACACTCAAGTGAGCAAATAATTTTAATATTTAATATAGTTACAAAACCTGCTTATGCTTGGCATTGCTACAGCTTGTGCAGGTAATTTAAACAGTAATATGCAAACCTAGTTTATATGTAAATGTTAGTAGGTGAAAGATGCAATGTATGCACCAGACACATGCAGTAACAGTCGGAACTTGTCTCCACATTGAAGTATTTAAAATGAATTTTATACTGAATCAAACAAGTAAACATCAAATGTGTTATTTTAAACATAACACCCTTCCATAGTTAGAATATTTTCTTACGGTTAGTGTAATATAAGACGTTTTAATTGTCAGTGTTGCGAGAAACAACTACTGCGGGGGCTATATGCCCCTACCGGCATTGAATTATACTCGGAACACCTAGTGCAATAGCTAGGGTCGTTCGTCGGTTTAATTCACCAGGCACAGACCGGTTTCGGACTTATTAGTCCTCTTCAGTGTGTCGTAGGTGAGACAACCGACGAACGAATCATCTATTCTGACGATAAACATGATGTGTTAGACAAAGATTTGGATATCTAATAATCTACAGTTTATTTAGTACGTATATTTGGATAGAATGTTTCTTCAGAATTACAAAGATTTACGAATTGGAGAGCCTACTCCTAACGGCAATGGAATCGCCATTAATGCTTTTATTATATAAATATAAGTATGTAATATATCTACACAGAAAAAATGTTTAATTTAAAGACACTATATTACATTTCAGATGTTCGTTTAGCTGATAATATATCGATCGAGTTGTTACCAATTATCTCTACCCTACATTATTTACGATCAAATTTATACGGCGGGTCCTCATTAAAATTGAAGGTCTGATTTTTTTATTACCGGAAAGAACGCCTTAATGAATCAATATGGTATTGCCATTTTTTTCATTACTACAACTGGAATCGAATACGAGAGTTGGAACAGAACAATGGACAGAATGAAAGGAGAACGCAAAAAATCCTGACATCCCCGATAGCCTTTTGTTTAAATTGATTCGGCGGCAGCGGAATTTAATACCACTCCAGAGCTCCGTAATTGTAAAATCGGTTTCAACCTACCCGTGCAATACAGTTTTATGCTATTGTCTAGGCCGGATCAACGACTATTCAGTGCGTCCAAGCGCTGGGCTATATTCGTTACATCATTTAAAATACGGTATCCCATTAAAGGGGACAAATAGGCTGTCAAAATATATGAGATATTTTTTGTATAACAAATAATGATCACTCTGAGACAGCGAACACAACGCCGATAGGGAGCGAAATATTAAGCAAACACCACACTTACGACGTCCTGTGCTGTACTATACAATGTCATGGTTAAGAAGAGATGCTACAGTGAACCGTTGACCAAGAATTAAGCAGTAGGAAATCGGCTACCAGTACTTTGCTGTACATTACTCGTTACTTTGATGAACTGAAGTTGTATTTACTTGTTCTATGAAGCTGGTAACTAGTAACTAGTCAATGGAGAGCAGAAAAATTTATAGAAATTATGTGTTACTATCTATGTATCTGTAAAACATAGGGTACGGGATATAAATATCAATAATTTCAAGTATATACTTATTTAGACAAATATAGCAAACAAATGTAATATGAAGAATGTAATATAACAATTTAACAACAATTTTTTTTAGCATGCAAATGGTTTTATGAGTGATACTGAAAAAAAAATAATTTCGGCGAAGGATATAAAAAATATATAGTAGAAAATTTAAATCTGAAAAATAATAAAATATCTAGTGTTTCCTTTGGTCGAAATTAACTTATGTGAGAATTTTAGTTATCCTAGAATTTTGCAATTTTTTACAAAACAATAACTTTTCTGCTTTAATTAAAAGTATTCCATACTCCTGAGGTAATACAAATTTTGGTAACCATCTATGACCTGTATAGATGAAAAAAAAAATCATCAAAATTATGAAGCCCTAAGGATTAAATTTCATTTATTGTCTAGATAATGTAATAATTTTTATGTTCAAATCCTGTTTCGTCTAAAATGTGAAACTGACGAATTTAAACAATTTTAAGGGCTATCCCAAAAGATCTAATACACTGCATGTCCATCCTCGACAATTTTACCCGTCGAATAAAAAAATTGTCTCATACACCTCGGGTGTATGGTCGAAAACTGACAAAAATGGTAAATGTAAATGAAAAAGGTCTGACCAATTTTCTAGAAGAAGCTCTAGCTCTAGCTAGTTAAATAAATAAATAACTGCTTCAATATTGAATTTCTGAAAAGGAACATGTGCAACTACTTTAATGAGTAGAATAGCCCCTTAGATTTTTTGTCATGATTTCCGGACACCCACTTATGGGGTAAGTTTTTTTGTAACTTATACAATGTGATTCAGTACTTATCCAAGAAAACTGGTCCACTGTAAAACCTGTCCTGCATGGCGCAAAGTGTGACAAAAACGGACAAAGACTTGAAAGAATTTCGCAAGGAAAGAAATAAATAGAATTTTATAGCACCTATTTTATATCAGCTGGTTTTGCTGCTATTGTTATTATGATTTAATAAAATTAATTTGTGGTTTNATTTATGTTCAAATCCTGTTTCGTCTAAAATGTGAAACTGACGAATTTAAACAATTTTAAGGGCTATCCCAAACGATCTAATACACTGCACGTTCATCCTAGACAATTTTACCCGTCCAATAAAAAATTGTCTCAAAACCGAGGTGTAGGTCGAAAACTGACAAAAATGGAAAATGTAAGTGAAAAAGGTCTGACCCAATTTTCGAGTCAGTTTAATATTTCAGCAATTTAGAATTCTGATAAAAATTTTTTTTCATAGTTGAGTTTGCTATCAATTATTGGTTTTGTAAGTTTTCTCAAAGCGTACCAAATTGGAAAAAAGTGTTTCACTGAAGAAAATATTAGTCAGATTAATAAAAAACAAATAACTAGTAGAATAAATAAATAACTGCTTCAATATTGAATTTCTGAAAAGCGTCACAGGAACATGTGCAACTACTTTAATGAGTAGAATAGCCCCTTAGATTTTTTGTCATGATTTCCGGACACCCTCTTATGGGGTAAGTTTTTTTGTAACTTATACAATGTGATTCAGTACTTATCCAAGAAAACTGGTCCACTGTAAAACCTGTCCTGCATGGCGCAAAGTGTGACAAAAACGGACAAAGACTTGAAAGAATTTCGCAAGGAAAGAAATAAATAGAATTTTATAGCACCTATTTTATATCAGCTGGTTTTGCTGCTATTGTTATTATGATTTAATAAAATTAATTTGTGGTTTTACTTAATAAAATAATTTGACATACCTGATGTTACAACAACTGTTCAAAATTTTGTCCACTACTAAAAAACTATTGTAAACACTATCGTAACAACGGCAACGATTGTAAAATCTGATTTGAGTATTCGGAGTCGCTGAGGCCACGTGGCTCTCCATGCGTATTACAAATGACGCTGGAGACTACAGTTGTTCAACTATATAAGGGTTGAAAGTACTACAACTTTAATAATTTTTTTCTCGGAAACTATAAGGATTTAACATTTTTTTTTAATAAGCTGTTAATTATTGGTTTCTATTTCCGTAAATTAATGATTCCTAATTTCCGAGACAAAATAAAAAAAAAAACACTTTATAACAAAAATAATATGAGAAATATACTAAGATACTCACTTTTGGCTCGCCTTTGCCTTTTGAGCCACGGCAGTGATTTTGTTAAGGTCCAGAATATCCATCCATGTGATTTTTAAATCTGAAACAGAACACTGCATAAATTGTACGAAAAAACAGTTATTTGTCATACAAGATTTCGAGAAATACGAATTTAAATGAATAAAATATTTGGCGCTCTACCAAAACAATCAGGACAAACGGTACGTATCTTTAATTGTATACATAAAATACCACGGCATACCTGGAACAACAAAGTAAATATAGAAATAATATTTTCTGGTGTGTAAGTCATTCATAATATTTAATAATTTGTTTGCGTGCCACCCGTTTATTCTTAGAACGAGAAAGTTAATACCGAGAGTTAATAAAAGTAATAAATGCAGATATTTTAATAAGCGGCCTTTTAATTACTCCGTGATAACCGGTGACGCGCCGTATTTCTAGGTGCTTGAAAGTAAAAGAGGAAAGCAGAAAATTTAAATATTGACGCCGTTATCAATCCACATCCATGTAAGTAATATACATAAGAATTAGATAGCATCGCACTAACCGAATCAAGGGGTCATTTTTAAACGTATTTACACTTTAAAAGTTGTTTCCTCAGACTGTTTTAAGAAAAAATACAACTGAAATTTATGGCCCAGTTGACCAGTGCGGCTGTGTTTGTGCGCACTTTGCCCGCGCGAGCATTCTTAAACTGAGCGTATACATTATACATAATTATTTAATAACCCAGCCCAAATGTTTATTTCTATTTTTTTTAAATAATTTTTTTGAATAACTCAACAAAGAAGAACAATCGTAAAATTTTCCATTCTTGATTTTCGATTTGTTTTTGTCCCCTTAATCAAAACCCAGAAGGACGGGCGTCCCTTTTGGGACACCCTGTATATGTGCTTCTTAATAAGAACGTTATGTAATTATGTAATTTATGCATGAGTTTTCACGGGGGATATAAGAATTTTAAACTCGGTTTCGATTTGTCTCTTGAGGCTAGTCGAGTAATGTAATTTCCATTTAATTTAAAATTTTATTAGAGTCTGGACAAATATATGCTCAGAAAAAGGAAGAACATTTTCTAGCATATTCTTCTCCATTGAAGAGGCATGTCTTCCAGCTAGAACGGTTCTATTCTTAATTTTTTTAGATGGCCAATAAGTATGCCTCAAATGCGAACACACTATAAATAAACCGGTCTGAGTGAAAGCAGAAAGGTCCTGAGTGAATCCAGTGAGTTATTGAGTACATTTTCAGTCAATATTGAGTATTTTGATAATTTTACACATTTTTGATAACATTTGAACAAAATTGATGTTTCACTTATAAAATTTTAGTTGTACTTATACTAATAAAGAAAAATCTCACTCAATCGGGAGTGGATAGAAATTGAAACATTACTGAGTGAAATTGAGTGAAAATAAGTCAATTTTTTCTTACAGTGCATGTAAGAGATATTTATTACTGACAATTCATGCATATATAAATCTAAAAATAAATCCTCAGATCTCAAAATCGATAGATATTAGAATATATTATGTTAAGTGTAGGTCAGATATTAGTCAGCAGAGTAGTTGTTTTCCGCAATACCATCAGTCAAAAATTGTTTCTCTTTGTGGCAACATAGGTCTTGCGTTTATATTATCTATGAGGTAGCAGGTCGTTTTCTGTCAATTTGGCCATTTGAAGGCCTATTCCGTTCATTGTTACATACTGTCTGTAGTTAAAACACCAGAAGTAACTAGATCATTCTTAGGTTATTAATAAGTTTGAAAACGGTACATGTCTGGTGGTTTGGCTCACAATGATGTTTACTGGATATTGCGAGTATAACTCAGTGCCGTTCAGGACATTAGTCAGCAAAGTAGTTGTTTCTCGCAACATAATCACTTTAAAAATGGTTTCGCCTAGTGTAGAATACTAACATCTTACCTACAGATATATATTTATATTACCAGACTGAGGGATATAATAAGATAACCAGTATTGTAGTAGCAATTAATGCTATAGTATCATGTTACAATATTATAAGTCGGTGCTATATTAAAGCAAAAAAGTACGTTTTTAGGGAAAATAGGTACATTTGTTCTAGCATTTCTTCCACTACTTCCAGGACTAGAATTCCTTATTGCATTTATTTGAAGCAAAAAAATATATTTGCTAGTATTATTGTCTTCATTCTAGGATGACCGCAATAAAAACCTTTGCTATGATCAAATTGTATTATAGCTACCATAGTTATAGGATTGCAACAAAACGCAGCCAAAAAACTTTATAATCACAGGCTCTTTTATTTTTTATTGTCACAGTAGCGTAACCTTTCTGGAGCCTATTTAATCTGCTTTAAATACGGCATAGTCAATTAGCCATAAGTGCAAACTCATTAACTCTAATCTGTGCATTAGGGTCCACTTATTACTAAAATATATTTCTTTCAGTGTAAAATCTGTAATTTCTAGGCAACTTTACTAAAGAACGTTTTAACAATTGGTATCTTTTATCGAAGCCTAACTCCCATTAAAAATAAAGCTTCAAATTTATACCTACACTTTGCACGTATGCATTTTTATCGACAAATTTTGTAAATTGCTAGACAACTTGAAGTATTACTAACTTATTGGTGGTTATGATTTATTGATATAATATCAATATCGGTTATTTATTACGCAAGGATATATTTAATGTTTTTTATTAGACATTCCACAATTCTCAACTCAATATGGCAAATAATTTCAGAGAAAATAAGAAATTAGTTCACGCTGCATTATATTTAACACCCAAATGCACTCAGAAAATCGTGCGCCTCATTCGTTAAACTTTTCAGCGGAAAACAATACGTCTTTTTGTTATGAGCAGTGGGAGAACAAGCGAGACAGATAATCAAAAGTTGCATACACTAAAGGCCGCTGCAGAGAACATCTTCAAAGTGCATTGATGAATCGAGGTTTGAAAGTTTGAAATTCAGAAGCTTACTGCTATAGCCATGTTAGCGTGATTCCTGTGGAGGAGCCTTTGTCGATATAAAGAGCCTAACCGCACTTTTATTGCCCTTTGTTATAGAAGATAATTCCTTTATGATGCGAAATTTCCGAGCAAGTTCGATTATAATAGAGTTGGGACACACAATCTCCGCCGAACTTCGAGTTCGACTTTTATTCTGCGGTAAATACTTATTTCCCAAAACCGGGATGAAAACTGATTTATAAATTAATTTTAGTATGCCCGATTTAGGTAAACAGACGCTGTCTGGCATTCAGAGAAGTGGAAATGAGAGCACTATATTGACTGGCGGAAATATATTCATAACCTGTTGGACATATTGACTTTTTACAGTTAAAAGCTATATTAAAAAATCGTATTGGCACGATCTATGAAGAAGGTTAATCCAGGCCTATTTTTTTAATGAAATATATGCAGATTATACAGGGTAATTACAATCCAGTACACAAAATTTAGGGGCGTATTTTTGACGTGAAACTAAGACTTTTTTTCCTATAAATATGGGTCCACAAATACTTTGTTTTCAATATACAGGGTTTTAAAGTTTTTTATTTTTTTCGATCTTTAAGGAATAATTTCCAAACAGATTTGAATGTTCGCATAAAACTTGAGGTACAGGGGTTTTTTAGGATGCTAAATTTAAATATGTCTAAACGGTCTTGTCACTATAGTCAGCAGTGATTTTCTCGAAAACCTTAGTAATTTTGGTTTGGATTACCTACATTCAAATGTCAGTTAGTATATACAGGGTGGTCGCGATGTAATGGGCAAAAATTCATAAATAGATTCCTGACGTGAAAATATTGCGATTTAGACAAACTCACCTTAGTCCAAAAGTTGATACTTACAGAGATACAGGGTGTTTAATGCAAAATATTATTTTAGTTTTTTCTTATTTATTTCATAATAAATGCTCATATCGAGATGAAATTTTGGTGTTAGGGGTTTTCTGGGGCGAGAGATTGAAATATATCCATGGTTTGCTTGTAGCTCATAGAGAGCGCCACCTGCGCTAGGTCGAATGCGTTGAAAACGACAGAACTTTTTTATCTTTCAAAAATCTAATTCTCAGGTAGCAAATTCTGATTTTACAACTTCTTTTACACAAAAAAGCTATACTTTTTGATAGTCGCTATCTGGCACCGTTCTCGTAAAATTTGCCATTGAAAATTCCAATGTATTTGCATTCAATTACAAATCGGCAAAAATTTTCAAGTAGGCTTATGTTAAAATCCAATTTTGACATTTTCCACTTATCTTAGTGCTGTCAGTAATATTACAGTATTATTCGTGCCTTATTAAAAGTATTCTTTACTTTATGATCTAAATCGTAGTGCGAGATAACATGCCACGCCATAATTTATTTTCAAATGGAGAAATGCGCGATATGGTTTGCGTTTATGCGCAATCAGATTATGTTGGACGTCGAGCGCTTCGTCGGTATTCAGAGTTGTATCCGAATAGAAGGCAACCAAATCGGAAACTATTTCAAGAACTTTTTAATAGACTTGGAGAAACTGGTAGTTTTCGTCCTAAAAGAGACAACGCAGGGCGTACTGTTACAGTTCACNGTTGCCTTCTATTCGGATACAACTCTGAATACCTACGAAGCGCTCGACGTCCAACATAATCTGATTGCGCATAAACGCAAACCATATCGCGCATTTCTCCATTTGAAAATAAATTATGGCGTGGCATGTTATCTCGCACTACGATTTAGATCATAAAGTAAAGAATACTTTTAATAAGGCACGAATAATATGTAATATTACTGACAGCACTAAGATAAGCGGAAAATGTCAAAATTGGATTTTAACATAAGCCTACTTGTTAATTTTTGCCGATTTGTAATTGAATGCAAATACATTGGAATTTTCAATGGCGAATTTTACGAGAACGGTGTAAGATAGCGACTATGAAAAAGTATAGCTTTTTTTTGTGTAAAAGAAGTTGTAAAATCAGAATTTGCTACCTGAGAATTAGATTTTTTAAAGATAAAAAAGTTCTGTCGTTTTCAACGCATTCGACCTAGCGCAGGTGGCGCTCTCTATGAGCTACAAGCAAACCATGGATATATTTCAA